CCGCAGAGGCAGCTGCGCAAGCTGAAGAGGAGCGCTTGGCTGCTGCCCGACAAGCCGAAGAAGAGCGCTTGGCGGCAGAGGCAGCTGCCAAGGAAGAAGAGGAGCGTTTAGCTGCTGCCCGAAAAGCCGAAGAAGAGCGCTTGGCCGCAGAGGCTGCTGCCAACGAGGCTCCCGTGAAAGCACAGGAGGAGCATCTTGAAGTGCACAGCCTGTTTCATTTGTTCGCTTGTCCGCACGTGCATCAGGACATCGCAAACACAAGGGAAGCTCGGAAGAAGGAGTTGCATGAGAGTGCCCGGGCTCGATAGTCTCCGCACAAGATCTGAGCAGTGTGCGCCCCTGTTCATGCTCTTACTTGGTCTCGTAGCTCCGGCTGTAGACATCATCAGTTTTTCAGCGCTTGAGCATGCTTGTGCGGGAGTCAGATGTTCTCTTCCGCGTTCGGGAGCCGTCCATGGCCCGTGACTCTTGCAGTTGCATTAAATGCGGGCACACTGCGGCTCATTGCTAATAGACAGATGCAGAATCACAGCACCTGCCATCGTTTTGACGACAGCTTTTGATGGACCAGGGCCTCGGACATTCTGTGGGCTTGGAGTGATGAAGCCTTGCGATTCCCACGGTCTGTCCAGAACCCAAGCCATGCAGACCCCGGTGCAAGCTCCTGCAAGCCCCAGCTCCAGAAAGTTGAAAGCCTGGGAGTGCTGTGAGACGAGGAATGAAGGCGCTCCTGCAAAGAAAGCGAGCGGAGGCGTCCGACGACGTGCCACAGGCTTCCGCACTGTTGCAAGCCTTCGGGGAAGGAGGTTGGGGGTTTCCAGCAAGTGGGCAGGAACGAGGCGCTGAAGAGGCTGCTGCTGCTAAAGAAGCGGCTGAGAAGGCGGAGGAGCAGCGAGTGGCTACCGCTAAGGCCGAAGCAGCTCGAAAAGCCGAGGCAGAGCGCTTGGCCCAAGCGGCTGCTGCTAAAGAGGCGGCTGAAAAGGCAGAGGAGGCGCGCATAGCCGCGGCCAAGGCAGCTGCGGCTCAGAAAGAGGAGGAGCGCCGTGCTTGATATCTGACCGGCTAGAGATGAGGTGTTTGTTTCGTATAGCTTCTCAAGTATTTTCTGGAGCGCTACAGCCGAATCTGAAATCGACGCATTCCGCGGTGAGCAGTTCAGGATATTGCAGATGCAAGGGAAGCTCGGAAGAAGGAGTTGCATGAGCGCACCCTGGCTCCATTGTCTCCGAGTAAGATCCCCTAACACCCAGGGCAGTAGTGCTATCATTTTTCTTTCAGCAGTAGATACTCTCGCTGGTGCAAGTGTGCGTTTCTGTCTTGATGTTGTGTTCAATGTCGAAGCACAAAAATGCACATGCAAAATGAAATGGCATGAATATCTTCGATGCCTGCCCCTGATGCATGCGTGCTTGAACATTCTGTGGGCTTGGGGGTGCGGCGTGGATACTTTCGAAGCCCAAGCGCTGGAAGCTCTGACAGACCCGAGAAGCCTGAAAACACAAGGCTCCTGCAAGCCCCAGCTCCAGAAAGTTGAAAGCCTGGGAGTGCTGTCAGACGAGGAATGAAGGCGCTCCTGCAAAGAAAGCGAGCGGAGGCGTCAGACGACGTGCCACAGGCTTCCGCACTGTTGCAAGCCTTCGGGGAAGGTTGGGGGTTTCCAGCATCCATATCTGTCAAGTGGGCAGGAACGAGGCGCTGAAGAGGCTGCTGCTGCTAAAGAAGCGGCTGAGAAGGCGGAGGAGCAGCGAGTGGCTACCGCTAAGGCCGAAGCAGCTCGAAAAGCCGAGGCAGAGCGCTTGGCCCAAGCGGCTGCTGCCAAAGAGGCGGCTGAAAAGGCAGAGGAGGCGCGCATAGCCGCGGCCAAGGCAGCTGCGGCTCAGAAAGAGGAGGAGCGCCGTGCTTGGTATGTATATGAAAAAGTTATCTGTTCTTGTTGATGGTGTGTGTGTGTGTGTTTGTTAGTGTATTCACTTGCGGTTGCGTATTTGGTTTGTATGTAGGTATCTATTTATCCGTCTATCTAATTATCTATCTACCTATCTATCTATCTATCTATCTATCTATCTTTCTGTCTTATCTATCCATCCATCGATCTACATATATATATATATGTATACACATACAAAGACTTCAAAACGGGGTGTATATATACATGTGTATATAGATACACACATACACATGTATATGTGTAGATGTGCATTTGTGCATGTGTGTACATGTGTACAGGTATATATATATATATATATATGTATATATATATATATATATGTAGAAGTGTGCGTGTATATGTATGTGTATGTTTACATGCACACGTCTTTGTTTGTGTATGTTCGTTTATGTATATGCGTATGTATGTGCATGTGTATATGTACATGTACGTGTATGTGCATGTGTACGTGCATATGTATGTGTACGTGTGCATGTATGCATATATGTTCGTGCATGTGCACGTGTACAAATGCATGCACAAGCTTGTGTTCATATTCATGTTGATACTCATGGTTTTTACATATATGTATATATGTATGTAACTGTACATGTATATGCATGTACACATGCACAGCAACCGTTATACACACATATATTTATATATACATACACATACATATACATAACATATACATATGCAAATACACATACACATACATATACATATACATATACATATGCATATACATATGCATATGCATACATACATAGATACATACATACATACGCACAAACATGCATACATACTGAGCTGCTCGGTGGTGGGGACGTGCATCAGGACGTCGCAGACGCGAGAGAAGCTCGGAAGAAGGATCTCCACGACCGTACCTGGGCTCGACTCTAGGAGTATCGGGTTTAGGGTTTAAGGTCATGCGGTCCCAGCGAAGCGGCAGCCACTATCAGCTTTTCGGAGCTAGGTCCTACTTCATACTTCCCTCCGCTTCCGGTGTTTTCTTTTCCTTGTCTAAACGTCCATGGTCCAGGAGTATGAGGTTTGAGGCTGAGCTTAACGTGGACCACGAATGTGGAGTCACGAAGATGTGTGTTGCCAAAGATAGACAGATGCGAGATACAGCACCTGCAGTAGCTTCGATGCCTGCTTCTGATGCAAGATTGCAGCGAACATTGTCTTTGTCCTCGGCACCCCCAAGCCCGAAGCTCGAGCCTGCATTCTACGGCTTGTAGGCCCGCGCTGAATTTGAGTCATGAATACTTGGATCCTGGTTTGGGGACCATCGGGACCTTGGAAAGGCATCTCTGAATTTTAAGACACCATCGGAAAATTGAAAGCTTTCACCGGGGTGTGACGAGGAATGAAGGCTCTCCTACAAAGAAAGCGAGCGGAGGCATCCTGCATCGTGCTTCGAAGGTTGCAGAGCCAATATACTATGCTATACTATACGATACTCTACCATAACATACGATACTATACTATAATAAACTGCAACAGACTATACTTCGAGGATTCGTCGCCGATCTTCGAGTCTCAGTAGGGGGCGATTCCGAGACCTGGGAGTTGGCGTAGCTCCTGGGCTCCTGGACAACTGGCCGCTCAAAACGATGAATCGAGAGGGAGGTTTAGGGTTTAGGGTGTAGGGTTTAGTGTTATTACCATTGTCAGTCTGAGTGTTATTAGCATTGTCAGTCTGAGCATTATTAGCATTGTCAGTCTGAGTATTATTAGCATTGTCAGTCTGAGCATTATTAGACGGACGGAGAGGCAGATCGACAAGAGAGAAACATGTGCATCTGGGGCCTGGTGGATGTATTCACTTCTGCATGTTCGCATGTGTTTGTGCCAGCAAATGAACAAGCATGTTCCAGCATGCATATCTTCCCTCCACCTCCTCCACCTCCTCCACCTCCTCCACCTCCTCCTTCGCAGTTTTCGCCCGTGGAGTTTTCTCGAACTCCCACAAACGATGTTTAGCGGACTTTAGAATCGTTGCCATGCGTCCAAGGTGTAGACGACAGCTTTGGATGATGCTGCGATCCCTCACATTATGAGCAGGTGCATGCAGGTAGAGATATGTGTGCTGTACATTATGTCACGGTTGTGTGCTATCCAGATGTTTGCATCTTTCAGGTCTTACTTGTGTCTGATTCTGGGAGTTTGTGATGAGACGAGGCCATTAACACACTTACAGCTGCGGTACACCGCACAAAGTCGAATCACAGTTTGCCTTGGCACTATTCTGCCTTTTCTAGGAAAGGTTGGGCTCCGGTGTGCTACCGCAGGACGACGAGGAGGACGAAGAGGAGGACGAGGAGGAGGATGAAGATGACGACGAAGAGGAGGAGGCTTGGGTATTGGGATGCCCACGGATTACACAACAGAAGCCTACAGGTCTTAGACATGTCAGATCACAGAGACCCGAGGAAGAAGAGGAGGAGGAGGAGGAAGAGGACGACGAGGAAGAAGACATGGCAAGCCGCGAACAGGCCTGGCATGCTTTCATGACAACAAAGGGTGCATCTCGAAGAGGTCGCAAGTAAGCTCATCTCTTCGAAACTCCCAAAGCCTAAACCCGAACTCCAAAATCCGAAGCCCTAATCTCCAAAACCTGCAGCACCCGAAATCTCAGAACCCCTGACCAGACCCGACTCCGCCAAGACACCGCGGAGTGAGGCGGAGAGCGCTGGCACGGTTCCGACCGCCCCGGGCTCCTCCAGGGCTGCCGTGCAGCGGCCATTGGTGCCAGCAGCTTGCTTCTTATATGGTTAGGAGAGACGGCTTGGGGTCTTGGCGTTTAGGATATGCTGTCTAGGGTTCAGGGTTTAGGGTCTTAGGTTTGGGGCTTTCAAGCTTTTCGGATTGGTGCAGATTGCTGCGCTGTTTTCTGTTGTCTTTGAGCTCAGTGCAAGTAGCCTTAGCAGTGAACTGGTGGGAGATCGACTTGTATCAGCAGGGGTTTGCTGTGAAGATGCACAGGGCAAAAGGATATCAGGCTGATGCCACTTAATGAGTTTTTTGTTTCACTCAAGCTCAACAGCCGGAAGGGTGTGACTAGACTACCCGCGAAGTTCTTCAAAGAGTGAAAGAGATGGCGGTTGTCTGGTGGGGTTGGACTGAGGACAGTGACGACGAAGAAGACGAGGACATACCTTCACGAGTGTCGTTGTTGTGAGACCCGTGGAGTAGTGAATTTGCTTCGTGAGAAGGGGTGTGTCGCAAGTAGGAGCTCGGCTTGACGCAGCGTGGTGTTTTCGTACGTATGAGTGCCTGCATGCGTATGTGCACATGTACATGACTGTATAGCTGCACGATGCACGTGCTTGCAACTGTAACTGTGTATGTATCCGCGTGTTTGTCTGTGTTTGCGTGAGCCTGTGTGCCGGCTATTTGTGTGTCCGTCTGTCTGTCTGTCTGCCTGCCGGTCTGGTATGGCCTGCTCTGTCAAGGCCTCGAATGGCATGGCATCGTGTGGGATGGCATGGCATAGCATGTTACGGTACGGTATCGCATGGCATGGTGTGGTATAGCGCGGCATGGTATTTCATTTCCTGGCCTGGCACGGCATGGAATGGCATGGCATGGGATGGCATGGGATGGCATGGTGTGGTATGAGAAGGGGTCGGATAGTACGGTACTCGTATGGCAGGGTACGGCACGAAAGGCATGGTGTGTCATGTCAGTTTCTGCAAGGTATGTGTGTGCACACGTATGCATGTGTACATGAGTAGCATGTATATGTGCAGTCATCACATGCGTATATGCGGCTTTCATCGCATGCGTGTAGGCTAGGATGCATATGTATATGCGCACACGGTATATCAATATCTGTATGTGTGTCCTCGTGCACATGTATGCATTCACAAAGATGTATTTCTGTATAAACCCGTAGATGCATCCATCCATCCATCCATGCATGCATGCGTGCATGCTTATTTACTTACACATACGTACATACGTACGTAAACTCAGGATGTTGCCCCCCGGACACCTCTCCGCAAGACTTGTATCGTGCTACGAGTACACGAGAGTCGGATCGCTTCAACACGTGATTTCCCAGGAGGAGTCGGAAGAAGAGGGCTTCATGAGCATCATGAAAGGGCTTCAGGCCAACGGCATTTTGCACCCCTGCCATTAGAACCCTAAGCCCTAAACCCTTAAGACACTAAACCCCAAAGCCCTAAACCCTAAACCCTAAACCCTAAAGGATCTTCGAGGTTCAGGGTCTGCAAGATACCGACACCCCTCTTTGGGTGCTTCGGCTCTGAAGGTTTCGATCTATGGAGTTGGGCAAAGGCTGGATTTCTGGGGTTCAAGACGCTAAAGATGTCGTTTCCCCCAAACTCTAATCTAGTTTGGGGGTTCCTTACTATAAGTGTCGTATAATGGTCCTCATTATAGTTGTAGTATAATAGGCCCCAAAACCCTAATCCCGAGTTTGAAAGCACGGTTGCAGTGCGATTCTCGCACCTGTCAAGTTTGCTGTGGCGGGGTACTCTTTTGGTGACGTAATGGTAGAACACTGGCTGGACCTGGGTTCTACACGTGCATGCTTCACCCGCAACTCCTAACAACGTCCTTGCAGCCATGGGTTGTCTCGTTTCGTTAGTGCACTACAGTCCATGCACGGAACCTAAACCCAAACCATAACACCCCGCACAAATGAACCCCCCCAAAAAACTATCAGTCGAACCGAAACCCGAAATCTACCCCAGTCCAAAGACCGGCCCTAAACCCTAAACCCTAAACCCTAAACCCTGAGCCCTAAACCCTAAACCGTAAACCCTAAACCCTAGACCCTAAGCCCTAAACCCTAAACCCTAAACCAGGCACGGCGTGCGAAGCCCGGTGCTGCGGATGCCTCCGCTTCGTCATCGCAGGCCAGATTGGGCCCCCTAAACCCCTTAAACCATATTCCAAGACATGCTTTAGGGGCCTTAACCATTGGAATAGGGTTTAGGGTTTAGGGTTTTGGGGGGGGTATATTATACTATAATTATAATCAGGAACCCCCAAAACCCTATTCTAATTACAAAGGCCCCTACATTACCAGAACCCCTAGTTCGAGAAAGCACACCCTGGCCTTGTCCTCATCCAGCCGTAAACCTCCAAAGCGCCCCAAGACTGAATCTCGAACGCTCTGCCGCTCTGAACAACGGATATCGGAACCGAAGCATCCTGGGGGTTTCCGAAAATAGGGGACCCTAATATAGTACCCTACATAGCAGGATCCTTATTATAAGGACCCCAAAATAAGGTACCCTAATTGTCGGAAACTCCCTCCTCGCAATAGATGGAACTTTCCACTTCTGGCCGCCATGCTGGAAGCGGTTGAGGGTTTAGGGACTAGTGAGACTAGAGCCCAGAGAGCGCAATACCCCCTTACAAGTCGTTTAGGGTCAGGCTTCGGTGTGGATTTATTTACCATTTCAAGAAATGTACTTATGAGGGATCTCAACGCGAGCGCTGTGCCGGATGTGCTTTTGCACTGAGTCCGTACATGCAAACGCCCACAGAGCCCTTACTTAGCCCTTACCTTACAAAAACCCATACAACCGATGCAAACCGTAGGAAGCCCTGACCCAAAAGAACACCTTAAAACCCTAAACCCCTGAACCCCTAAACCCTAAAACCCCAAAGCCCTAAGCCCTTAAACCCGAGAGGTAGCAGAGCCAAAGAAAGCCAAGCAGCCGGCCGGCAAGCGGGACGAAGAGGCCTGGACTCGCGGTCTTCGGGGCTTCTGGGCGTTTTGGGGTGTTTTGGGGTGTTTTGGGGTGTTACGGGTTTCAGGGTTTTAGGTGTTTAGGGGTTTAGGGCGAAAGTTCAGGGGTCAGGTGGCTACGGCTGTGGGTTTGGGGTTTGACGAGGTAAGAAACATCCAAGCCCTACATAAACTCTCATGCAAAGCTAACTTCCGCAAGGCCCTGCAATCTCTGATTCTTCTTCAGCCCACCGGTTGCCACCCCAAAATCGGAATACCAGGCCTGCTATACTTCAGGTGGCAAACCCGAAAGTTTTGTGGAACCCCTACAGAACCCTCCTTGAACCAGCAAGATGCCCCAATGCTCCCTTTGTCAAAAAGATTAAACGATACCTTGAAAACCCTTGAACAAGGGACCCTAAGCCCTAAACCCTAAACCCTAAACCCCTTAGTCTCAGAGGAAGAGAGCCCTGCAGGCAGAGCTGGAGCGGGAGCGGAAGGAGGTGGCCAGACGAACGCTGGAGCTGATGGAGGCTTCAGTCGGTCCATCTCCTGAATCCTAGAGACTCCAATATCCTTGAATTAAGGAATATACCTTAAATCATATTAAGGATCCTACTATAATTTAAGGAATATTCCTTAATAAAGGGATATTGGAATCTCTGGGATCCTACCTTCAAGCTGAGTTCCCCAGCCCTTCCCCGAAACCCTCAGCCCGAAACCCTAAGCCCGAAACCCTGTGTGAAACGTGAATATCCGTCTTGAGCCAGGCCAGGCGTATGGTGGACGCAGCTTTGGAAGGCGACACCGGCAAGAAGCCACAGCCCCAGATCTGAAAAAACTAGCCGTATCTAGCCCTTTCTCCCAAGTTCTACCTTCAGAACAGCCCTGAAGCCCTAAAGCCTGAACACCCCTCGAGACCTGAGCCCCTAAAGTCTAAGCCCAAAAGCACTGGTGCCTGGCGCCATGAGCTTCGATCGAAGCCCTGGAAGCCGCCTGTTTGCGGTCGAAGGTCTGACATAACTCAGGGCCCTATAAGGGTTTTTGGATTCAGCGGGGTCTTTTGCGAGGGGTTTCAGAAGGGTTCATAGGGTTAGGGGTCAGTGGTTATACTAGGGTTTAGGTAAAATAGAAGTCTGTCCGAAACCCGGAGCCCTGGAACCTAACCCCACACGCTGAACCTTACTAAGTCCTAAGCCCAGAAGCCCTAAACCCAAAGACCCTAAATCCCAAGCCTTAAGCCCCGAACCTTAAACTCAGAAGGCCCGGCAACTTAAACCTTAGACCCCAACGCTTCTTGCGGCGGACAGGAAGAGCCGCAAGCGCAACTACGTGAACAAGCGATGCAGCGTGCACCTTATCAGGCCAAGGGCTGAGAGATTCGTGTGTTGGGGGCTTTGGGGCTTTAGGGCCTTTAGGGTGTTTAGGGATTTTTAGGGTTTGGGGGCTTTAGGGTTTTGTGGCTTTTTTGTGTTTTTGGGCCTCCCTCTTCGCTGCCTGGAAGTTTGGAAGCATGCCGGGCCCGATCTCGCTGTAGAACCCTCCGTTACAGTAACGGGGAACTGTCTCGATCTGCAGCAATGAGAGGCCTGGAGGGTAAGAGCAGCCCGAGGTTCAGACCAGACCCTGAAGCCCCAACCCTAACGCTGAATTGAATATTACCGCGGCCAAGAGACTATTGTGGGGGCTCCGAAAAAAAAGTATAATGGGCCCACAAACCCTGTTCTAATTATTAAGGCCCCTATATTCACCCGTTGAAGCATCTCAAAAGCCTTCCGCAAGGCTAGATTCAGTCCGACACCCTGCCGCCCCAAAGCTTCAAACTGTGTTCACAGGCAGAAGATGGATGAGGAGCTGGCGGCGCAGGTAGGATCCAGCTGGAGAGATTCTGGGCTTCAGGGAGGAGGGAGAGACGCGAGGGAGGATTCCTTGGCTTGCTCTTTCCCTTCTCGTTCTTTTGAAGACGGCTTCGAACCGTAGTAGGTATGTGGAGTGCCAGGCCCTCAACCAGCCTCCCAAACCCCCCTAAGCCCCCAGCGCTGTGACAACACACCCTCAATCACAAAACGACATGCTTGCTCCTGAGTCTATTGCGCCCTGGGCAGGAGAGAGGCCCACGCTACGTGAACAATGTGGCGATCTTCGTCAAGAAGGGGTGACTCGGCTGTGGGGTCATCGCGTGGTTGCACGATGCAGAGCAGCGAGCGAGGGATGGAGGGTTTCAGGACCGGAACTCTTAGATGAATGGCTGGTAGTATGTCGAACTATTGACTTTGCGCATTGGAACGTACAGGCAGAAAGACATTGACGCCAACACGATTGCCTGGCATGTTTGCGCATTGCTGTGCTCTGTGTTTGCGGTGGTAACGTCGTAAATCCGAACTCAGTGCCTGATGTGAGAGGAATGCGTTTTTGATGATTGTGATACATAGGTGGTAAGCAACAGTCGTGTTCGCAGTCGCAGTGTACTGGTGTTGCAGCGCTAGTGGTCACGAGCGGCAGTTGTTTGTGGCATTGGTCGTAATGCTGTTGGGCAGCCCACTACCTCCT